AGTTTCATTTGTCTGAGTACAAGGTTTTATTTTTTCAATTTTGCACCCTGTTTTGTCCCAGTTCTCAAGAATGACTGATTTGTATTGTTGCACGATGCAGAGGAGTAATGAGTGCGTCGCCTGTCTGGGCAGCCCCCAAACAGAGACTGCACGCTCACTGAGACGGAATGTTCTCACTGAGAGCATGAGTCTCACCCTTCTCCACTCGCGCCCCGCCTTCTTCAATGAAGGCAGCCCCGCTCTCTCGTTTCTCCTCACTCAGCAAAGCTCGGAGAGAGAAACAGCGGAGCCACGGGGCTGAGCAACCAGGTTTGAGCGATCGCACGCCGGCAGTCCACGTGCCCACTCTCCCCACTGCACTTTGATCCGCCAGTGTGTTTTACACGTGAGGATCAGCGCCCCTCGCTACATCGAGTGGCTCTATCCTCCTAGGCGGATCGGAGCAGAACGCTGTCACCTCTCTATCACTGACAGTTTCACATTGTGTGTGCGGCACAGAGGCTGCACTCAGACAGGCTGCTTTGACTCAAAAGCCTCAGTCTGTTCCTGCTTCGCTTGCTGATCCCTCCCGCTCTCATGTTTCGCTCGTCCCAGTTACCTCGGAGGAAGAAATGGCAAATTCGCTGTTTGAGCGACCGGCTTGAGGGATTTTACGCCAGCACACATCCCGCATGCCTTACTTGATCTGCCAGTGTGTTTTACACGCGAGGATCAGCGCCCTTTGTTCCATCGAGCGGTGCAATCCTTCTAGGCGATCAGAATGGAATGCTGTCACTGACAGCTTTGCATTTGTATGTGCGTAGCGGAGGCTGCACTCACTGAGACAGGCTGCTTTCACTATGAAAGCATGAGTCCACCCCTGCTCTCACGTTTTCCCCCTCCCAGTTACCTCGGAGAAAGAAACAGCGAACGCGCGGGTTTGAGTGATCAGGCCTGAGTGATTTTCACGCCGGCACAGCTCCCGTGTGCATCACTCTCCACACAGCTCTTTGATCTGCCATTGTTTTTTACACGTGAGGATCAGCGCCTCTCGCTTCATTGAGCGACTCAATCCTTCTGGGCGAATCTGAGTACAATGCTGTTACCAATGATTCATATCGCTGAGAGCTTAGTGTTAGAGTGCGCCGCTCGCCTGGGCCACACCCATGCTGAGGCTGCGCTCACTGAGACAGACTGCTCTCACTACAAGAGCGTGTGTCCCGCTCTGCTGCGCTTGCGGTTCGCCCCTCCCCTTGTCCGCTACAAGTGGATTTGAGAAAATGCGCAGCACCTTTAATCTGCCGGTGTGTTTACACATAAAGATCATCAGTATCCCTCTTCTAATGAGCGTTTTTGATCTGTTTAGGCTGATTGAAGGTGAATGCTGTCACTAATGATTATTATCACTGACAGCTTCAGATTCTAGACGTGTCTGAGCCGCGCCCACGGGGGCTGACTGCTCTCGCTACGAGAAGCATTGAGTCTAGCGCCCCCAAACGGCCTCTGTTATGCCTCCAAGCACCCCGTTTAGTTCTGGGTGCCGACGGCAATGTGTTTGTTGTGAACTCCATTGTGAATACTTGGCCTGTTCAAAAAGTGCCCACACAACCGTTCACTGTTATATTGAGAAAGAAAAAAAAACATTCTCGAAAGAGCAAGTTTCCTCTTCCACTTAACTTGAGTGTCGAGTCCCCACAAGGCGACCCGCCTCCTGAACCAATCCAACCCCTTGTCACGCGGACCGAGGCCTGGCAGGCCATCGCCAGAGTGTCAGGTTGCTAGCAGCAGCTCCATGGCCCATCCCCCTGAGACGAGACCTCCTTTCTCAGGCGAACAGAACGATATGGCTCCCCCAGCACGAGCTGTGGGCTCTGCACCTCTGGCCTCTCGATGGGAGCCTGCGGACCTCACCGAGAGCGTATAAAATACAATCTCTCAGGCTAGAGCACCATCTACGAGACGCCTCTAAGCCCTTAAATGGTCGGTCTTCTCCACCTGGTGCACGACCCGTGAAGGTCCAGCTTCCTGTGACATATCTTGGATATTGTCCTTCTTGCAAGAGCTGTTGGACAAGGACCATTCCCCTTCCATGCTTAAGGTCTATGCATCAGCCATAGCAGCCTATCATGCTCCTATAGCTGGCCAATCAGTGGGCAGGAACAACCTGATTGTTCGCTTTTGAAGGGGTCTAGGAGGCTCAACCCGCCTCGCCCCTCCATAGTCCCTACATGGGATCTGTCCACGGTGCTGAGGGCTCTAAAGAGCCCTCCCTTTGAGCTGCTACAATGCATTGACATTTGTTCCCTGACGCTAAAAACCGTTCTGCTACACTCTAAAAAATGCTGGGTTAAATACAACCCAGCGCTGGGTAAAATAGGGACAAACCCAGCAATTGGGTTGTTTTGACCCAGTGGTTGGGTTACTACCCAGAAGGTTGGGTTAAGGTTGACCGCTGGGTCAAAACAGCCCAATTGCTGGGTTTGTCCCTATTTTACCCAGCACTGGGTTATATTTAACCCAGCATTTTTTAGAGTGTACTGGCGTTAGCATCGGTAAAGCAGATGGGAGATCTGCAGGCGCTTCCTGTGAGCCCCAGCTGCCTTGAATTCGGGCCCAACGACTCTAAGGTCATCCTGAAACCAAGGGACGGATACGTACCTCTGCCCCATCATGGCATTGAGGTTTTATATTGAGCGTTCCGCCCTGATCAGGCAGTCGGAACAACTCTTTACATGCTTCAATGGCCGCACCAAAGGGCTTCCGGTCACTAAGCAGAGACTCTCAAGGTGGATAGTTGACGCTATTGCGCTAGCGTACTCCTCTTTGGGCCTACACTGCCCCATGGGAGTAAGAGCCATTTTGACTAGAGGTATGGTCTCGTCTTGGGCATGGTCTAGCGGTGTGTCCATAATCTGGATGTCCCGGCCTTACAGGCCTGGGTCCATTCTGCGTAATGTGCTCATTCTTGCCTTAGGGCAAACCAGTGCTTAGGCTTTGCTTCCTTTCTTGCGCTTTTGGCCCTCACCGAGTGCTGAGGCTGTAAGGGTTTTCTTGGAACAATTACTCATGGCTGGCCTGACCTCTGCGAGTTTAGCCCTATTGCCTCATGCGGGGCATTCCCTGCAAATTACTTGGTCCCTCTGGGCCCCTTGTGGTGCTTAAGGCAAGTTCAAGTATGAGTCATTCCTCTAGCATAACACGGTGGGATTGTACTGGTTCCCCATAGCATCTTAGCAACGCAGTATGAGTGAAGTATCGATAGGGAACATACTTGGTTACTAACGTAACCTCGGTTCCCTGAGATACAGGAACGAGTCCTGCGTAACTAGCCGTGCTATGCTGCTGCACGACTCAGTCGTCACTTCAGTCGAAGTAACCTGAGGATCCTATGGCAACAGGCCCGCTTATATAGCCAGATGGCCCCGCCCATTCTGGCTGGCTCTGGCGGGTTTCATCGTCATTGGTTCGATTTTTAATTCACTGCATGAGCAAATGGGCGTGCAGCTACACTGCGTTATTAAAAAAGGCTTCAGTCATCGGAGAAAAGGAGTTTTCCACCATAGCGTCTTAGCGACGCAGTATTCGTTCTTGTATCTCAGGGAACCGAGGTTACGTTAGTAACCGAGTACATTTTATATCTGACTCCTTACTGTTTCTTATTTCCCTTTTTGTACATGTAAAGTAACAAAAGAGAATAATTTGCTATTCTCTTGTCTGTTGCCAAGGGCTGAAATCTTTTGCTCTTGGCTGTGCCTTCCTCAGATTTCTAATCAGCTCATAACATGCATGACCTGGAGATGGAATCTGACTTTTCAAAGAAACATTTTTAAATTCATCCATCCCTGACCTTTTCTATCTCTACCTCTGTTTCTTCTCCGCACTTCCATGCCCTCTCTCACCC